CTGCTCCGTCCCGTCGAGAACACGTCGTCAATGGTTGATCAAATGAGGCATGCGACACATGAGTGGTAACTCCCCCCCCTGCCGATCCGACATGTACCGTCGGCGCATACTATGACCGAACGTGTAACGCACACATGTTCACAAGACGCACCCTCCGCGATTTTCATCGCCGATCATTCGTTAGGCGGCGGAGCGCGACGCGGAGAGAAGAAACAACAGGAAGAGAATAACCATCGCCGTGTGCATCCCGATGACCAGCCGGGGCACCTTGATGAACTCCCCCTACGACAGCCCCGTGTGGACGCACGCCTTCAGCACGTTCCTGTCTAGCACGGACTTTGGGCATCCCAGGTTCCGGTTCCACTGGTGAGACGATGAACTTTCGGCGCGAATGTCTTGGTTGTGATTGATAATGCTTTGCCCTTTCTTCTCGTGCAGTTTGGTTCGTTTCTCTTGCGGGAGTGTCAGAACTCACCGGTTGTCCAATCAGATCTACCGGCATTCACGCCGGGCAACCATCACGCCGGCCAGCACCATTTTCTCTGCCCTTCGTTTGCCTTTCCGTAAAGGATTTTCGATGTGAATTGTTTTGTGCATTTTTCGTGTGCAGGTACTTCGGGTTTGATGCCGGCGACCCAATCTACGATGCCGCTGGCGCTGCTGCGCACCTCCACAAGCAATTTGGCAAGCTTGCGATAGAGGTAAGGGAGGAGGCGCGCCTGATGTATCGACGGGGGAAAGAGAAGTAATGTCGTTCCTAGGGACATAAAAAGTGTAGTGGTTTCTGTTTGAGGAGGCCGTCCGACCCACAAGCGGCGTGTTCGAATATTTGACCCCTCTGACTGGTGTGTTGTCTTCCTCTTGAGTATTCCAAACATGACGAATCCTCTACAGGGTTGTTGATGCCCATCTATTATGCAGGCTTCGGCATGATAACTTCTGCTAACATGTGGTGTGTTTTGGTTTCCGCTGAAGCGCACAAATCCCAAATGTGCTCCAGAGAAGTTGATGGTAAGTGTTCCTCTTGCGTGCCTTAACGGGCTTTTACGACCTCCGCGTCTTGTTGTCTTCCACTTGTTTTTTGCTTCTGTTGGGGTTGTCGATGACATGACGTCTATTTAGTCGCTTTGGTCTGGAGTGGTACCCAACACGTGTATTGTCTGTCTGTCTGTCTGTCTGTCTGTCTGTCTGTCTGTCTGTCTGTCTGTCTGTCTGTCTGTCTGTCTATCTGTCTGTCTGTCTGTCTGTGTCTCCAATCCTCTCTTCTGCTTTTTGATGATCAGGAGTTCAGAAGGCAAGGTTTGACTGCTAACGACGTTGAGCACCGCTGGCGTGACGGCAGCTTGAGGCTCAAGGCTAAGCACTACCTGGGAATGGAGGTATTTATGCCTTTTTTTTCAGGGATATGGTGTAACCACTGGGTGCGGACGAGAGGACTGAGAGCATCCTCAACGCCCTCCTACAGGCACGCATGATGGCATCGCCCTCTCAGCCACCTTTTTGTAAAGCCGCCTGTTATATGCCACCCGGCTAGTGGGGCGATTATGCTTGAGCGTTTCCGTTGGCGATTCCGTTCATCGCGACTAGAGGTAGGTTTGGGCCTACTACATAGCCACACCCCCCCATGCTCCTCTCCCGTTCTGCCCGCCTAGTAGGCGAGAATTCGATGTGCTACTCCTTCTGCTGCGGCAATGAACAGCTACAAATCTATCTCGGCAGACCGCCAGCGCTCACCGTTTTTCCTGCATGTTTCTTGCCTGTCCCTACAAGTACATCTTCCTACCTATTTCTTGTTGGCCTGTCTATGTATGTATGTGTATTCTCTCTCGCGGTCTCTCTCTCTCGCTGTCTCTGTCTGTCTGTCTGTCTGTCTCTCTCTCCGTTTCACTCTCTCGCTCTCTCTCCCCTTCTCCCTCTCTCTCTACCACTCCCTCCCCCTCTCTCCAACACCCAGCACGCGCCATCGTACGTGGTGAGCGCCCTCATGCAAGACGCCTACGACGACGGCTGCGACTACCTCTACCAGATCAACGACGACACCCTCATCAACACGCCGGGCTGGGCGGAGG